GGTGAGGTGGGGCTCACAGGGTCCGTGGATGGAGGTGGGTGAGGTGGGGCTCACAGGGTCAGTGGGTGGAGGTGGGTGAGGTGGGGCTCACAGGGGCTGCTGTTGGCAGGCCCGAGGGGATGGGGAGGGAGGCGGGCACACAGGCCAGGGCGGGGCTGGGTGGGCACCTTCAGTCCTGCTCAGCGTCTCCAGCAGGACGTTGTACTCGTGCACTTTCTCCTTGTGATGCTTCAGCTCTCGCCACAGCTTGTCCAGCTCATCAGTAGAGAACTTTCCGGAAGTCTTCGCCTGCGATGAAGGAAGGACTGGAGGGTATTCACGTGTGGGAAGCCCCGTTCTCTCCAGGCTGGGGCTCTGGGGGCCGTCACACCCTCATCCCTGCACCAGGTGTGGGACACGGCAGCTGAAGAAAGACCGTGCGCTGAGGCTGGGATGAGAGGCAAGGGGGTGGCCACACAGTCCAGCAGGCCCACCCTGGGCCGCTACCTCCGTCCCCTCACCCCATGTCCTCTCTCCCCCTCCTCTGCTCGCTAGACCCCCATGATCACCAAGGATGGGATAGGACCAACCCATGTCACCCAGGGATGAGAGGTCCCCTCTCAGGGATGACCTCAGCCCCCCACCCATAGAAGGCAGCCCTGCCTCAGCCCCCAGATGCCACAGGGAGTGGACAGTCTATTCTCTGCCTCAAGGGACCCGGGAGATTACTAGAGCTCATCCTGAGTGACCCTGAACTGAAATGCGATCCTCGACCCTGTGACGCTCCAGGCCGCGTTGTGCCCTGTTCAGGGCACTGCACTGAGTTCGTGTGCGTGGCCTCCCACACGGCTAATACTCAACAACTCACATCAAGGTCAGTGGTTCAAATCCAGCTGGGGCAGATGATCCACGGCGCAGTCACACTATGTGCGCCTGGGCTGGGTGGGCACTGGAGTGGACAGGTCAGCCGTGCTGGCCTCAGCGCTTCCTAACCTGCTGCCCGACAGCACAGACCCGGGCCCCTGACGGAGCTGGTACCTTGTGCCACAGCTTCTCCAAGCGAGGGTCGTCCAGGCCCTGGTCTTCGTCACCATCGCGGATGTAGTTGGTCACCTGTGCGTCCTTCCTCCCGTCCAGCCCGTACTTGGCCAGAATGACTAGAAGAATGAAGGAGGGCTGTCTGTGGCCCCCCAGGCTTTGGGCCCCAGGCATCGCTGTGACCCCGTCCTCTACGGTGATGGTGGTGCTGTCACCCTGGTTCTGGGGGACAAGCCTGGGTGCTCCCTGAATGCTGTGGGGTCCTCTCTGGAAGGCCCCACCTGACCCTTCATTGGGTGTCTGCTCTGGGAAAGGTGAGAGGCGTGACTGGGCTAGGGGTCCTGGTGGGGACGTTTATGGCCAGCTGCCGAGTCCCCAGCCCCCATGCAGAAGGTGAGTGACGGCTGGCAGGCTGTGGCCTTCTGACAAGCCATGTCTATCCTCAAGGGACAGCTCTTCCTGAAAGGCTCTGGCGACCTCAGTGTGGCTGGGTGGCCCCCTAGTAAGAGGCCCCGGGTGGGGTCCCCTGGACCCAGGAGTTCCGCCTAACTGCAGAGGACCCGTGCTGGGCATCCCAAGGAGGGTCCCTCCCAACTCCAGCTCCCCCAAATAGGCCAGACGGTATACAAGAATCATGTAGCGCCTTCATGCCCTACCACGTGACGGCCCCCCACCTTGTGTTCTACTACGTAATGACCCCCCACGTGCCAGCCCCCCCTCGTGTTCCACCACGTGCCGGCCCCCCCACGTTACCGTTGAGGTTGCGGATGAGCCTGGCCTCCTTCTCCCCATCCTCGTCCAGCCCCTCAACCTTCATCTTCTTCCAGCTGAGCTCGTCCCGGTCCTGCAGCTTCAGATCAGCGTGCAGCTCCGAGAGTTTCACAGGAGAGAGGTGGAGCTGGAAGGAGGTGGGAGGGTGAGGGGGACCAGTCACACAGGGGAGCCTCAGAAAGGTCACGGTCTCGGGGTTCCCGGGAGAAGGGGGCTGGAGGCCTCAGGCTCTTGCTGAGACGGGGTGGGGGGGTGCAGGTCTGCAGAGACCCTGGGATGAGGGTGGGCTCAGCCACAGCACCACCTGATCTCACGGGTCAGTGGCCTGACCCCAGACCTAGGAAGGTGGGAGCCAGCGGTGCCCATGGGCTTGGCCAAAGGGCGTGGCAAGCAGGTTACTGTTATGTGCCACGGAGTCCCCTGAGACCCACAGGGACCCTACGTACACCAGCTCTGAAGCCTGCGCTGTCCTGAGCCAGTCTCACTGACCAGACACACCACCCCCATCGCCCCAATTACTGTGTCAATCCATCTCATCTGGGGTCTTCCTCTCATGCACCTTCCTTCACCCTTCCGAGCAAGATGACCTTCTCCAAGGACTGGTCTCTCCTGGTCACGTGCCCAAACTATGTTAGAGGCAGCTTCAAAATCCTAGCCTCCGAGGATAAACTTGGTTTCACCCTCTCCAGGACAGACCGATTTGTTTTCTTAGCAGTTCAAGACTCTTCTCCGGCACCACAGCTCAAAGGCAGCTGACTGCACAGAAATGGCTGCTGACCTCCAGCACTGCTGGGGTCAGAGCTGAGATGCCAGTGACCCGAACAGGAGAGGACAGGCCAGTGGAGAGACCAGTCCTGCTCCTGGACTCTGCTCATCATGGCCGGTTAAATGTTAACACCCCACCTGGAGAGCTGGTTAACAGAAAACAGGCAAAGGGAGCAGTCAGAGATGAGAGTTGCAGGGCGAATGTGAGGTCACTGTGCGTCAGATGCCCACACCCGATGCTGGCCCTGCTGGTACCAAGCCTGCCCCGCCTCTGCCCTCACCAACGGGCCCCAGAACCACACTGAGCTCCGAGTCTGGTGTCCACAGCCAGCCAGGAGGGGTGCAGGATGACGGAGAGGGGCCTGGAGGCAACTCACACGTGCCCAGGTCAGCACCAAGTCCAGCTGGAAGGTGGGGTCCCAGCTCAGGGGGTAGACACAGGTGCCCCTCCTGGCCCCCCTCACATTGCTCTGCGATGGTCCCTCCAAGGGCAGCCCTGGGAAATTCTGGACCGTCAGCAAGGCCACAGTGCTGGCCCTGGCCCTCCTCCCCTGTCCCCCACATCCCTGCCCCGGACACGGAGCAGAACTCAGACGCACGGAACAGAACTCAGACGCACAGGGCAGGACGCAGGCCTCCTCTCTCCACTCTCCACGTCTGACTGCACGCCCCTCCTGAGGCTGGGCCGCTGCCCTTGTGCCTCCTGCTGTCTGTCCACCCGCATCTGCTGAGCGATGGGCGTGGGTCAGCAGGAAACGTCATTCCTGCCAGCCGCCTCTGCAGCACCCAGACTTGCCCTGATGCCCCAACTGACCCTAGCACCGGCTTAAAGAGGGGCCTCAACCCTGACCTCCAAGAATACAGTGTGGTACCACAGAACCCCCAAGAAAACTCCACATGGACCCGCCCCAGGGCCCCCTCTCACACCCAGCTCAGCAGCACAGCCACACCCTGGACCCCACAGCATCCGATGTCACAACACCCTCAGACGTCACCACCCCGTGCTGATGAGCACAGGGAACCCGAATTCCCATCGGCTGTCAAAGCTCTAAAACAGGGACTGGGTGATTGAGGAACTGAATTTTCTCTTGACTCAACTTCCAGCCAAACAACAGACGGGTCCGTGAGGTGACCAGTGACAGGAGTGGGGCACATGACCAGGGAGAGAGCCTGGCAGACGGCAACAAGGAGATGGATGGAAATGGGAAACCAGGGAGGGGAAGAGGGCTGTGACAACGTGGGGACAGCCACCAACGTCCCAGATGTGGAGTGATGGGGAGCAAAGCCAAGCTCCTCTGTAAACTGCCATGCAAATCAAACATCCTAAACCACAACAGCAAACGAATGGACAGAGAAGCCGTGGTGTATTCACACAACAGAATACAATGCAGCACTGAAAAACAAGGCACTCATAAAATATTATACAAAACGGGTGACCCTGGAGGACATTATGCTGAGTGAAATATCTCAGTCACAACAGGAGAAATACTGCATAGTGCCATGGTTATAAAACAGGATTGACATGGGGGTTGGGGGGAAGCGAAGAAAAGAGGAGATAAACAGAGTGCACTGCACTGAAACAGATGATGGAAAGAACTGTCTAAAAGGAATATATGATTAGGTACTATTTGCATGACAATAGTCCAAAATAAGAGCTGCAGAGTAAAGTGGACTGGGGGGTGGGAGGAGGAAATAAACAATAAAAGAATTGTTTTTTCAACGAGAAAAGCAAACTGGGGGGTCGATGAGTAGAGAGGAAAATGTGCAACAATGAATGAATAGAAATTCAAATTCTCTACTAACTTTTGTTAAAATCTCAATTAAAATAAAATTTAAAAATACCCCCTAGAGTGACGTGAGTATAAAATATTAAAAAGAAACAACAAACCCAAAACTTATATTTTCTTCTAAATAAAAAAAAAATCCTAAGCCATCGATAAACCTAGAAGCTGGGGCCTGTGGAGAGTGAGGCCAGAGCCACTGGCCATGGCACACGGGAGGCGCAGGGACATGGTGCCAGGGTCCCTGGGGCTGCAGCACAGGGGTCATGTGACAAGCACACAGGGGACCGAGGAGGGTGAAGCCGCTGGAGCGCCACTGGACTCTACGGTGCAGGGCACACTATCTGCTCCACGTCCAGCTGACAGGCCAGCTCCACCATCACTGCGGACAGATGTCACCCAGGTGCACCACGCACACGGCATCAGGTGCTGGGTTAACATGTTACATCCGGAGAACAGACAGACCATGTTTTCATAGAGTAAATGGTGGCGATACTCTCCTAACTTGTGAAGAAAGGTCACGCTCACCTGCCGGCCACAGGTAAGAATCCTGCCCAGGTAAGCCACCTGCAGCTGAGAGGGAGACTCAAGAACCACTCGCCCGCTCTCCGCCCTCCTTCCTCACAGGTAGGGGGCAGCAGAAGTGACCGGCACTGGCTCCAAGGGCAGCACCACAGGCCTTCTGTCCAGCAGGTGCTCAGGCCACCCCAGCCACGATCCCAAGCCCAGAGGGAACAAGAGCGCCACCAGCATGGGTCAAACTAAGGACGGACACTGTGTGGGTTCAGGCCGAGGGCTCGTGGTCAGGCGCCTGGCCAGCGTCTCTCCACTCACCATACCCCAGAGAAGGAACACTCGCAGCAGGGACCCCCAGGCAGAGTCTGCCCAGGAGGAGGACGCCTCACGTGCTGAGGAGGAGGACCTACGCACATGCTGTCGAAGATCAAAGGTTACAGCCTTCCGTGTGGACAGCACGTCAACAGCAAGACAGAAACCCTCACTGCTGCACTGCTACACGGCAGACTTGAAGCTGTCAACGGTTTCATGTTACTAGGATCCAAAATAAACACCCGTGGTAGCAGCACTCTGGAGACCAGGAGACATACGGCATCAGGCGAGCTTGCTGATAAGAAAGAACTTCACCAAATGACTGGGGAGCAAGGATGTCACTGTGAAAACTAAGGTGGGCCTGATCCAGCCCGTAGTCTTTTCCATCTCTTGCTATACGTCTGAGAGCTGGGGAATGAGTAAAGACGGCAGAAGGTGTCCGAGCTGTGGTGCTGGAGGAGAGCACCGAGCATCCCATGGACTGCCAAGGTACAGAGATGTTTGCACAAAGTGCAGCGGCATGCTCCCGGGAGGCAGGGATGGTGAAGCGTTGCCTCGAGCACTCTGGGCGTGCTGGAGGAGAGACCAGTCCTTGCAGACGCGTATAATGCTTGGGAAGGGGGGGATGGTTCTCAGATCCTCATCCTGCCAGGTGACCATCATGTGCGGGTCACTCCAGGGAGGTGAGCAGAGGACAAGCCAGGCCGGCAGGTCACTCCTGCTCCCTCCCGAGTCTTTGAGGCTCTGCCCCAGCTTCCAGAGCCCTAGGCTGTACTTCTGACACACCTCTGCTTGGATGAGAACCCCTGACCTCTAGGTTAGCAACAGGATGTGTTAACTATAACCACCCAGGAATTGCTTCCTCATATCAGGAGATCCAAGTGTAAAGCTGAGGTTAGAGACAACATTCGGCTGCTAAGGAAAGGTTGGTGGTTCAAACCCAGGACCCGTGGGTGGAAGGCAAGGCAAGGACCTGTGAAAAGCCTGTTGTGGTGCACCATGGAGTCGGAATGAGCCAGCTGACCCTCCCGGACGATGAGTCACTCAGGAGGAGATTGTCCACACTCCACCCGGGAGCAGCTGGTGGATTCAAACTGCGTACCTTTGCGCTGACACGTTCCTGACTAGGAAGCCAGCAGCAGGCTCGCACACACCTGAGCTACAGGTGGAGGGTCAGTGAGAGAGAGGGGGACACACCACCAACCAGGTGGACTGCCAGGGGTCAGATCTGCAGTCCAAGCGGTCAGCACCTATGAGAAGCCCCCAGCACTCCCCGCAGAGCCCAGAAGACCCTGCGGCCCGGGTCCCGGTTAGAGAAAGACGGGGCCTGGCTGGGCCCTCACTGGGCAGAGGCCGCTGGGCTCGGCCAAGGCGGGAGGCCGGTGCTGACCCCCAGAGGACGCCTCCCCAGCAGCCCTGCGGGGTCTCCCAGGTGCGGATCTCCAGATCTAGCAGCGAGCGAGCACGTGATCCCATCTCACCAGAGCCAGGTGAGCTGGGTCCAGAACCCCCAGGAGCCAGGTGATGGCCAGGGCCGGCCACCGCCTGTACTGGGGGCAGGGGGAAGGCCAGCAGGCCCCAGGCCTGGGTCCAAGCGCCAAGGCAAGGCCCTGTGTCTCCCCCATCCCGGCCTTGACCTGCGTCCCCTGGACACCGCCTGGCTCCAGCCACGGGCCCCCGGCCTCCCGGATCCCGGGACCTCACCGGTCAGGCCCCCGGCTCCCCCGTCCCGGCCTTGACCTGCGACCCCTGGACCTGCGCCTGGTTCCAGCCACGGGTCCCCGGCTCCCGGGACCTCATCGGTCAGGCCCCCGGCTCCCCCGATCCCGGGACCTCATCGGTCAGGCCCCCGGC